GAAAAAATTTTCCTTATGGGGGATTCCCCCAAAAAAAAAAAAAAAAAAGACCCATTGCATTTAGAATCTCATAAGTCAAAGTCACCGTGTGGAATTATACTTGAAAATTATACCTCATGGAATATATAAGTATAATATACTCAAATTATAATGGCACTATTAGCAAATAGTTTTATGTATTCTTCAGTAATTGAGAGGATGATCATCTGACTTACTTCAGCATAGTGAATTATAGCAATATGAGTTTGAGTTAATGACTATGCTAATTATAATGTAATGCCATGTATCTGAAAGAAGTTCTCTGGCTACTATATGACTTTCTGTAAATGGCATGAGCTTCACAAAAACCTTAATATGGAACCTGGAATTACTCTGTCTTCTGGTTGCTTCTTTCAATCTGTAGCTGTTGTTTTAACATTGATCTGTACCAAATCTTCCGAGGTCATCTTTATGCTTTTGCTGGCCTCTGGCTGCACCTGCTCTGGAAAATTAAGTAGTATCCAGGAGCATTTTTGGGTGCTGGACTATCTATGATCATTAGTTGTAGTAAACTGTTAGAATATTCTCTGGCATGAGTTTGGCATGTGCTACCTACCTCTCTTCCAGACAGTTTTCCAGCAGGGTTCTGAGGTTAGAAAGTTCCAGGGACCAGTTTGCATCCAGTTGTCATGTTATCATTTACTGGAATAAATGAGGTTAGTTCCATACCAGCTGTCTTCAATGCCTAGAACGTTCCCAAGCACATTTAATTTAGTAGCATAGATTTAGCCTCTCTAATGCTGTATGTCTGTATGGAATGTCGACTTTCTCAGCTGGCCGGTTACAACTGTAATTAGGCCCAGTAAATGTGAAATGTGTTATGTATAGCTCTCATTTTCTGTTTTTTAGTGTGTAAATAAGTAATACTACTTTAAACTGCATCTGTCATATATGTTTAGTAGGAGTATCCCATTCTGAACATTGCAACTACTTTTGGCAAATCAAGAATAAAATTTCTGTAAGGTGATATTTGATCTTTTGAATTGTCTTGGTCTGTGCTACGTATATACTTTTGAAGCCTGTGCATCCTTTTGATTCTGTGTCTGTTCCTAAACCACTAAAGTGGATAAAACTGAGAAGCTCGTCTG